CCTCATCAGTGACCCTGCACACTACCATCAATGAAATATCAGACCAAACTAAGCCTTTATAGTAGTGAGGTACTTGTAGCTTTTACTATGTAACACAGACTACAAAATCTTGACAAAATGTATATCTAATAGAATAAGAAAAGTAATAGAACACCTAGTACAGAACACCCAAACATGCAGTATACCAAACAGGAAAACCCATTAGAATACAACATTACTGAGAGATATTATATACACAACGTGTTACAGAAACACACACGGATATGTACTGACCATAGATTAGGAGAAGGCGTTTTACCGAGTCAGTCACGACTTTCTCCTGTTCATATTGGAAAAGTACAATATCCCCATCAGGATAATAAAGTAGATCAAAACAATACTACAAATATTACAGCGGTGATCAACTTAAATGGGCATAGGGAAATACATGTCAGGTCTGGGGTAAGACAGGGTTGCCCTCTGTCCCCCACCCCTCTTTATCCTGACAATCGACTGTCTCCTCTCTAAAATAGTACGATGTCAGAACTCATTCAACAAAAGGTAATGGCGCAAGCAGATGGCGTAACATTAACACTAGCATCAGAACAGGCAATAACCAAAAGTTTAGATATAGTAAATTACTACAGTTCGGCCACAGGTGCAAAAGTAAATTATAATAAAACACTAGCTTTTGCAACAGGAAAAAGTAGAACACGAACAAACATCAACACAAACGTTAAGTGAACAACACAACAAATTAAAATATTAGGAATTTGGTACGGCCCCGGAGCCGTCACCAACCACAATTGGAATATACAGATAAAGAAATAGATGAAACCCTAAACAGGTGGAAAGACAGAGACCTGTCTTTCCTCTCTAAAGCACAAGGCCTCAAACAAATAATATTCCCAAAATTAGTATACACAGCACAAGTATACCCACCTTCTGAAAAACACTTATAAAAAATAATTATAAAATTTTTAAATATATATGGTCAGACAAAGCCGAACTACTTAAAAGAGACACAATAAACCTGTCTCTAGATACCTCTAATAGATACTTATGTAGGTTTTACAATTCATAACGAGGTATTACTGACAAAAACACTAAAACAGAAAGGTAGTATGTTAATAGCTGCGAATTAAAGACGTTAAAGTGAAAATAAATAAATAAAAACATTCTTATCAATACAAATCACGTCACGTTCTTGCAGCGAATACCTGTTTTAAGATTCAGTATTTCTGTAGATGAGGCTCATTGACTGAATGATGTATGATGCACAGTTAGCAAAAATGGGTAAACAGAGATTCTAATCTCTTTGATGGTGAGTTAACAACATGTATTCCTTTAATTTAAGCCTTAATAATTTTTGTGGGTGGGGGTTGTTGTCTAAGTCTTTCGTAGTTTTTTTTTTTTAAGATTCATTCTTAAGAATAGCGGGTATACGAGGCTTGAGTCTTGTTTTTCTGTTTCCTTATAACCCACAGTTTCCCTTGAATGAGAAAACATTTATTTCATAGTAACCATAGTACAAGAACTGTTTCAGGTCTGTGTTTAAACTCGACAAACTTATTTATAAAGTTATGAACTTTTATTAGTTGGTCATAACTGATCAAGACAGAAGACGAATTAACTGGTCAGGTATTTGTGAACTGTTTTTCAGTAAAATTGTAAAAAGAAGATTTAGAGTAAAACGTCTAATATCACTGAATTTCTGAGGTTATTTTGTGAAGTTCATTATTCAAAAGATAACATGATAGAAAAGTTAATACTATGTTTTCTGTTTCACAATTCGTCAACTTAATTTGTACCATATTTATAGTTTAGAGGCTATCAACCTAGTTAATGCTATGTTCTGGTTCACAAGCTATCACCTAGTTAATGTCATGTTTTGGTTCACAAGCTATCGACCTAGTTAATGTCACGTTTTGGTTCACAAGCTACCGACTTAGTTAACGTCATGTTTTGGTTCACAAGCTATCGACCTAGTTAACGTCATCTTCTGGTTCACAAGTTATCGACCTAGTTAATGCTATTTTCTTGTTCAAAACTTATCGACGTAGTTAATGCTATGTTGTGGTTCACAAGTTATCGACCTAGTTAGTGCTATGTTCTTGTTCATAAACTATCGACCTAGTTAATGCTTTGTTACGTCTTTAGTCGTTTGTTAATTTCCCGGTATAAATTATTCCCGTGGAACTTCAGCGATACAAGTCCTTTTTTAAATAAAACTAGTTTATTATTTCTCGGTACAACTTTATAATACACAGAATTTCCACAGTTACTTTAACTTAAACATACGATTTAATTCACAACGATTCGCGCACTTTACTTCCGGTCACTACCGCTCACTTGACATGATTATCTGTCTCTATATCTTCCTGTGTGCAATTATCTATGCTGTTACTTCCTCTCTCCGCTTTATTTGCCGGGTTTATATATTAAAATAGAGGGCGCCTAGAAAACGCTCGGACTTCATGATCCTTCTAGAATCTCATGACGTGTTACCAGCGTCACATGACTTCATCTGTCGTAACACTATGTTCTTGTTCATACGCTATCGACCTAGTTAATGTTATTTTCTGGTTCTCAAGCTATTTACCTACTTAATGTTGTGTTGTAGTTCACAAGTTATCGTCCTAGTTTATGTTATGTTGTAGCTCACAAGTTATCGACGTAGTTTATCACAGGGTATAAAACTCGTGAAGGAAATGAAATTCCATTGACGTTTTCAAAGACGTTTTCGGTACAAGTAAGTTTTTTGAAAGGATTTATGAACGGGAACATTCTGTTGAAGAGATTATGTTTCTGCTAACATATTTTATTCTTTATTCGAAAAAAAAATTGTACATTTAGTTTATTATTTCTGCAACATTCGAAACTGAGCTCGATGTGAAATTTTGAAAGATTAGGTAGTAACAATATCCCTGTTTATCAGCAGTGACTCGGTTGTTTTATCTATGTGAGTCAATGTCTTAAAAACGAGTGTCACGCTCCCTTGTTTTGTTTTTTGGCAGTTGATGTTCCCA